TTTATTTATTATTATTATCATTTATTATTATTTACTATTATTCATTATTATTTATTATTAGTTTATTAGCAAAGGATGCAAATGTCTTAATTTTGGTTTGCAAGCAGAGAAAGGGTAGCACATGCAGCTTTTATCATATCCGCCAGAGAAAAACATGTGCCTAATCGTCTGCAAAATTAGGTCTTTAGATCCCGGAGATGACGTTTTCTGCCTGCGTGGTTCCCCACTGAAAGCTCCTTTTCTTTCCCTTGCAGGTAGCTCGCTGCTGGTCTACAATACTCCATCCCACACAGAAGCTTCCTCACGTCTTGCCACCAAAGAAGGTCAGTCTCTTGCGTCTAAATGTGCTCTCGTGATGTTTTTGGTTGCATTAAAACTAGACCTTTACTATAATATCCCTGGCAACAAAATGTTCGGACGGGCTCTGCCTGCACAGCATGGTTAAAATAGAATAATTCATCATTTGCAGCCTCACCCCTGCTGAAAATCCCATTTGCTCTTGTTCAGCCAACATGGTGGCATATAATGGGTATTTGTTAGCTTCATACTTCTGCATGGCTGGGGGGATGAACTGCTGGCATGCTTTTTTCTTCACATGGAACAGTCCAAAATCTCAGACACATACCAAGGATTGAGAGACTATTTCTCTCTGAGCGAGTTCATAGTTGAAAGGGGAAATTTTTCTCGCAATAAATTCCGTTATTGAATAAAAGCCACTCACGTCTTCCAAAACCATTCATGAATCTGTCAGCAGGGAAGACCAAGGGTATCTTTTTTGACATTTTCATTCTGGAATATTTTGATTTTCTTTTTCAAATAACCCCAAATTTGTAATCTATTAGAAATTCTGATCAGCTGAGAAACCTTGAAGTGTAAAAGTTAATGACGCTCTTGAGGCTCTTTCAGGCTTTTGAGTTGTTTGTATATTCTTCTGTCAGGTTTTCCTCTGCAGCTACAGTCCCATTCCTTTTTAAGGAAAAAAACCTGGATTCTCAGTCATGATAAAATTATGAGAGTTGGGTAAGATGCACATCCTACATAAGACAGTAAGCCAGATGGGTCAAATAAGGTGTTAAAGACCAAAAATCTGATCCTGTGCTCTCTAACTTACTGTGGTCAGCATATAACCCTCTCCTTGAGCTGTTTAGGCTTTTCTGTGACTATTTCCATGCTAACAGTCATCTATTTAAAACGAATAAATAAAAAAATTAATAAAGCAGGCAGACACCCACGTGTCCATCCATAATTGCCCCCATGAACATTCACACACATCCATTCTTTCTGTCTCAGGCCAGGCGGTTGCTAAAAATAAAGGGAAGAATACTGCTCATTTTGTTTATTTTATTAAAGAGAAACTGCGTAAAACCGCACTCTGAATTTTTGTAGGCGCTTTATCTTTGCAGGTTGGGGCCTTGAGAAAATTGAGGGAAAAAAATGTTCATTCCCCTCTGTTTTTACAGCCCTCGAGTGTGTTTCTTTAGCGTGGCCGACAGAAGTTTGCATTTGATTTCTGTCAGCTCGGCGTTTGGAACTTTACGTGATACTTTCACCACGTGTCAATAAAGGGCTAAACACCCCCACGGGACGGGCAAATAAAAATTAAGAAAGAACTAGCACAGAAATGTGGAAATCCCACCTATTCCTCTGCCATTTCTGCCCACGAGGCACAAATTTTCTCTGAGTTCATTCGACGGCTGAGGATTATTTTAGGATAAACCGACCCACTCCAACCTCCGATTTGAGCTCCAAATATTATTCCTGAGATAAAGTGACAGGAAAAGAGACATGGGAGCTTGACAGGCTTGACAGGTCAGGAGCAAAGTGTCTTGTCCAATATCACAGAAGAAATTCATGACCAACGTAAAGCTGGGCTTGAAATTCCTCAGCCTAGTTTGTTAGGCAACAAGATTTTCCTTCCTTCCTTTAAAGGCTTTTTAATGGGCTCACCTCAGGAGGCTGATATTCTTTTGGAAAGGGACTTTCAGGTTGAAACTCATTGGTTTTTATAAATATTTTCTTGCCTCCTTAACTTCTCGAAAGGAGAAACATTGAGTGCATCTTGAATCTCCTGTAAAACATTTCTCTTCTCCTGTGCCTGCGAATCAAAACAATTTTTTCTAAGCACCTTCCCTTGAGGATTCAAAAGCAAGAGGAGGTGATGAAACAGTCTAATACAGAGAGAGGAAAAAAACCCTAATATTTTCTTCACTCTTCCTATAACTTTTTTAGCACGTTCTCTAAGAGCTCCCGTTTTTTCCCTTCTTTTTTTTGCCCCTCTCGTTTCTCTTCTGCAGTAGAACCTGCTTTGAGTGGGTTCAACTGCTTTCACAGCCGAAACAGTCAACTTAGGCAGCAGATGCACTTCTTGACAGGTAGAAACCTTGTCGTGTTCAAAGGACTCTTGTTGCCAGAAGCTTCTTTGCTTCTTGTCCTCATAGACACTCAAAACTCTGGCATTTTGCGTCATCGGTACAAATTGTCTTCAGCTGCCCTCAAGAAAGAAATTGCTCTAATGAAAATCACCAACATTTTTTGGGCTAGCGAGGAGTTTTGCGGAAAATGAAGCGAGGTTGCTCTCATGGGCTGAATGGAAAGATTCGTGGAGAGATGGGCTGGTCCACTGGAGGTACCGGAGACACGCAAAAATAATCTGAGACCACATTATCTGCCCCGAGTCTGGGGAGATTTTAAATCCCTCACCTTCAGAGCGATGTCATTTAAGTAGATTTCCACAGGGAAATGGAAGTTATATTCATATACAACAGCATTTTGGAGGCCAAAGGGCTGTGTCCTGGATAACCGTGAGCATTCTGGCCTCAGGTATGGGGCCAGGTATCACACCTAAGCTCTGGGTTAGGTATGATCTTGATTTAAAAGCTGGCTTCAGCATAGGTCTTCATCCTCCAGCACCATCCTCTGCACACATCAGGCTCAGCCTAAGGCAAGCTAGTTAGCTTAGAATTGTGGTAAACCAGAACTAGCTCCAAGTCTTGTAAATCCAACTGAAATTAGAGCAGAACGTGAGAAAAACTGATGTGCCGCCCGCCTTTTGAAGAGGGATGATATTTGCGTGGGAATACCTGAATATTGATGGTAGGAAATGGATTTTAGGGATTTAGTCTGTGGTTGTTGGGCGTTTAGGTTTGCATTATAGAAGTATGTGTGCGTGGACAGCAGGGATGTTTGGGTATAAGGTGTGTTTGCCTGCATGTTTTGTTGGGTTATTGGCAAATTTAAGAAGAGAAATAAATCTCTGAAACTCACACGGTGATTTCCCCGTGGGCTCGTACCCATCTTGGTCGTGAGCCCCTAAGGAAGAATTTCCTGATGTTGGAGCATCTCTCTCATGCAGGTTCCTTAACAAAACATGACTCTATGCAGCTGCTTTTCTCACCATCAGGGCCACAATCGCTTTCCTCTTTCCTTTAGATTTCCAGGAGCTCTTTAAATCCAAATCCAGCGGCAATTTTGGGTGACGGCTTGGAAAGATTCGGGGAGGGGCTGGAGAGGGGCAGAGACCACAGGCAGCACACTTCCCATAGGAAGGTACTCTCAAATTCCTGCGTAATATTCTTCTCTTGGAAAGGCCATTTTTTCAGATTTCAAAGCTTGTCATGTGAAAAATATTGGCCAGTAAGCTCTTCTTTTGAGTGTGTCTGTAAAGCCCCTTGCTCAGAGCAGAGCTCAAAAACCCTTCGCTGTGTCAGAGAAAAAGCAGATGCAGCTTCGTCCCCTCTTGGTTGTCTGTACACGCTAAAACATTTGTCATTGATATTTGTGTGCCCAGTGATGAAATGTCCCAATTTTAGCTCCAAAGCAGAAAAAAAAAAAAGGTGGGGGGGAGGCTTTTTTGGTGCTTCTCTTATTGCACGGCCAATGCGGGGATTTATGATTTCGGGAGAGACAGTAGCTAACGCTCTCAGATTTTTCTTTTTTTAATTGTTTTCCTTTGAAATTCCAGAGTTGGTGTTTTGTCTGCTTTCTCCCTGACCCTCTTCGGAGGCAGGCGTGTGTTTTTTCACCAGAAAAAAACGGGAAACAAAGAATCGTTGTCTTTAAGCTGTAGCAGGCAGGAAACCCAACTCACAAGGGATCACCCCGAGCCAGCGCTGTCCCAGAGTAGACTCCAGTTCTCTGAATTCAACCTGACAGCTCGTCTGGAGCACTTTCTAAGTAACCATTATCCTTCCTTTTCCCCCAGCAAAAGAGCTATTATTTTTTTGCCTAGGGTGCACTGCGAGCGATGTTATTGCACGTGGAGGAGGGGGGGTGGACTTTTTTACACGTTTGCTTTGGCTCTTCCCTAAGACGAGGGTTAAATTTGTCTCCTGATCGGGAGTTAAACGGGCAAATTCTGTGAAAATGCTGGCATCTTCCCTTTTCTCTTACGTGTCCGTTGCTGCGTCTTGCTTTTCTTTTTTTTTCTCCTCCATGAGCAAGCGTTTCTTTTTCTTCACTTCTGCATTTGTGCAGTTTTTTTGCAAACCACGGCAGCTCTTTGGTTTTACCCCAGGGTGGAGGTAAAACACTCGCTTTGTGCCTCTGTGTGCTTTTGACCAAAGGTGCAGAGGGTGCTCAGAAATTTGCCTTCCAGAATTATCCAGTTTTGACACGTATGTCGACGGTGAGGGATTTCTCAGTCTTCATGAGCCGTGCGTTGGGAGTTCTGACGCCAATACTAAAAAAAAAAAGAAACAGCAACCCAAATAATTCACATTACTTCCTTCTTTTCTTCATAATGTGTCTTTGTGAGCGTTGCACGGGGCAGCTCAGATGCGAATCAGGAAGCTCCAGCGCTTCTCAGCTCCGGTATGTTTTTCTAGCCCCGCTCGCCCAACTGGGGGCTGTCACCTACGGCCGAGAGCAAACAGGGAGTGACTCCAAGTTTTGGAGTCCTGCAACGGGGGAGAAGAGCTCTGTGCACTAGATTAAGCTCCAGATCCTGGAAGTAAGTCGGTTTCAGCCACGGAACTTTAATCCAACACTGGATCTATCGCGGGTTCGACCCCCGTTTGGTCCCCATGTGTTGCCTGATCTAGTTGAGAGGTGTCCCTGCCCATGACAGGGAGGTTGGAGTAAACAATCTCTAAGGTCCCTTCCAGCCTAGGCCAGTCTAGGATTCTGTGATCTAGGATAGGAGTAAAATCAGAAACATTAAATCTGTATTTCCATAGGGATAGAGACGCATAACTATGCTCTCAGCTCCTTTCAGAGCTTCCCCAAGATAAACCTGCTCTTCGTGTCCGTGCTCTGCAACAGATTTCTTATGTAAATCCAGCAGCCAGTCCCTTCTGGCTTGCTTTGAGTTGACTTCAGGTCAAAACCCAATGTTGTTCCAAGCCTGGGCTTTGCTTTCCGTGCCAGCTTCTTATCAGTAAAACAGCTTAACAGCAATGTGGAGATGGTTTGGTTTTGTTTTTAGTTGTGTAATAATCAAATAGCCGGACAACGTAGACTAGGAGTTATTTTGAAATTATTCTGTGCTCAGCTACTTGCTTCCTCTTAGTGGGCAGACTTAGAATTACTTAATTCCAGCCGTACTGGTGGGCCTGGGAAGAACCTCAGAGAGCCTACAACCTTTACGTTCGCTGCCACCGTTTCAGACAATGCCTCTAATGTTTCTAGGAGGAGCTGGAGGTGTTTTTGGCTTCCTCGCCTCTCCGAAAAAAACCACAGTCTGGGTTCCCTCTCTCCAACTGGCTTTAAACACAACCCCACGTCTTCAATGCGATCTCCAGGAGGTTAAAGGACGGGAGTGTGCGGGCTGGATGCTCGGCACCTCTGGCAGACCTTGCTTACATGCTTGGTTTGCAGCAGCAGTGTTTTTTGTTCCCGTGCGCCTCCGCTGGGACTTTTCCAAGACACCGGAATAGTGCCACCACGCACAGCCTCGCTTAGGGAGGAAAAAGCGGTGAGGTCCTGCGCCCTCCTTTCTCTCTCTCCCTATAAAGCAGTTGCCGCAAAATAGACCCCAAGTGACCACTTGGATTAATCACAAGCCTGGATCCCCCAGGACACATGGTTCTGCTTTCCCCATTTAGAGAAGGTAATTTAAATTCCAGCCACCAAGCCAGGGTCTTTGCTTCCTACCGAAGCAGAAGGAGTCCTTGCAAAAACCAGACTGTGGATCCTATAGCTTCAATTTTGAAGCCTTCTCCTAATTTGCTTCGTTGAAATCTGTAAGGCCAAGTCCTCTCTAGAAATACAGTGCTCCCTAACCAAATCAAACAATATTCAGGAGCAGTTCCTGCTGTATTTCTGGTTTGGCCTTTTTTTCTGTCACGTGAAACGGAGGAGATTCGACCTTTCTGTCATAAAGTCTCCCGAGATGCTGTGGTGAGGAACCCACCAGGTGATGGCTAAATGACTACAGCTATTCCTGTTGTTATTATTCATCTGAGCCAGCGAGATAGGCTTGGCCAGAGGCTGCCAGTGCCTTTCAAAAGGAGAAGGAGGCAACGTAAGCAGTCAGACAATTTGCTGAGGCTTGGGGAACTTACCTTTATCAAGAAAACACCTCCCTGGAAGTGCTCAAGGTCAGGTCAGACGGGGCTTGGAGTGACCTGACCTGGTGGAAGGTGTCCCTGGTTGGAACTGGATGATCTTTAAGGACCTTTCCAACTCAAAGCATCCTGTCTTTCTCCAGATATCTTCTACAAAGGCCGACTCAAAGCTTTTTTCCAGGTGGAAATCCCACCTCAGGGGATGAAACAACTTGCTGAGACCGAGCTGTAACACTGGACATAACACAGAATTGTCCGTAGGCTGAGCTCGGTCTTGGCAATTTACCTCGTGAGGAGCTGGTAGCATAAAATTGCGCCTGAATTTGGTTTGACTGAAAAAGCTCCTACGGCGAGGGCAGGATGAAGGGGCTGTCAGCGCTCACCGAGCGGCTCAGGAAGCACGGGGACTGTAAGCCTATTGTTCAGCTGAAAGCTTCCCCCTTCTTGCTCTCAGGCTTAGGAAGAAAAAAAAAAAGAACTTTTTCAAGCTTATCACGGAGGGTTTGCTCTCTCATACATCATATCTTCAACTTCTAAATGGCACAGAGGGTGGAGAAGCAGGAGGTTTGGGGTGAGAAAGTCTAGCCCAAGGTTAGGAAGGTTGCAGACACCAAGGCTGTGCAGTCTGTCCCACATAGCCCGACTTTTGGGAAAGCCACTTCGTCTGGAAAAGGCAGCGAAAGCTTGCGGAAAGTGCATTTATGCACGTAAATAAATAAAATTATATGTAACCTCCTCTGCAGGCACGCTGCGTGTTTGCAAAGCCGTGAGATCCTTGGCTGAAAGGTGCTGTGGAAGTGCAAAGCGTTATTAATATCCTTTACCTTCCTCATAAGAGGGTAGGCATTCATTCTGGGGAATTTCTGGACATAAACCAGACAGCTGCAGAATGACATCTCTTGAAAGCATCTATGATTTATTCTCTGCTCTTTAATTCCATTTTGTATTGAACGCACATTTGTCAGAGGGCTGGTGTTCCACTGGGTCTTTTAAGTCGAAAACAGACTTGGGGACCTGATCCTGAGCTGGTATAAATTTGCCCCTCGCTTCACCGTAGTTATTTGCTGATTTACACCAGAAGAGGAGCTCAGCCCAAGCCTTTTAATCGAATTTCCACAGCACTGCAAGTTTTGGTGTAAAATCCGAGTGGTTTTAATGACAGATAAGACTCTCCCTGTAACGAACCGTCTGGCTGGAGTTCTGTAGGATCTCGTCGAGCCACTGGGCGTCAGGTCCTGGGAACGATATTGTTTTTGCAGAAACTTGACTCTCTGGATGGTTTCCCTGGCTCTGCCTTTTCCATTTTGTTTTAAACACGTTCAGCTTGAGAGTCTGGGCCTGGAAACCGGGAGGGCTGGTGCGGTTCTTTCACGTTGCACAGATTTTTGTGAAAACAAAACGAAAATAGCTTAGTGGATTTGGATTTTTTTTTTTTTTGCCAGAAAGAGATGGAAACTTGCAGGAGCTGAGCGAATGCGTTATTTCAATATCAATGCCTGTACTGCTCACGGTCATATTTAACCCTTCTGATGCATCTGAATCAGCCAAACCATCTGTAGCAACTGATTCACTTCAGACAATTATCTGACCCAAAACAAAATGGAAAATTTTCAATGTGTTCTGCTTGTGGAAAAGAAATTTCACCTCCAATTTCAAAATAATTTTTCTGTTCGAAAATAAATTGCTCCCTTTCTTTTTCTTTTTTTTTTTAAACAGGATCCTCATGTAAGTGACCTTTCCTTTAAAATTGCACAATGGCAAAACTCCTTCTGATTGAGCTACCCCAAAATGTACATTAACACCTCGACCGGTGGAAATTCCTGAGCTTTCACCTAGCGCTCTCTCTCTCGTGTCTTTTCCGAAATATTGCCCAAAGCATCGCTCTGGTTGTAAGGAAATGCCAGGGGGGAGAAATGGAACTCAGAGATTGGTTGCAAAGGGGACGTGGGAAAAGCCAGATGGAAACCACGGGTTTCCAAAGAGAAAAATCCCATCTTATAGCACCTTATTTACAACAGTTTCTGATCTATTTGCAGCGGGGTTTGTGGCTTCTTAGTTAAAAAAACCCAAATCAAAATAAAACCAGGCAGATGACATGAGCTCTACTTCCCCCCTGCATTCCTCCCTTCTCTTTCTCTCCCTTTCTTCCCCTCCCCTTCCCTCTTTCTCTGTTTTCCTTTCCATGCCAATAACCAGAAGGCTGTAATTTCAAAGCTGTGGTGGCTTTCCCAGCGCCAGGAGGGAGCTGGGCAGCCCAAGGGGGCACGAGGCAGCGCTCGCTCCATCCCATTTCTCTCGAGAGGACGCTTTTTTCCCCTTCCCTTTCTCTTTACAACAGCCTCCATACTGTGTTCCATATGTTGGCCTGCTTGTTTTAAAGTTGACCTTGATTTTAGGGGGGCAAATAAAGAAAGGGGTCATCTCAGCCTCCTTTTTTGGGCCTTTTCTGTCATCTTGGGCTAAGAGAAAGTTTTGGAGGGAAGGAGTTGCACCCTAAATCCCATCGAGAGCAACGAGTACACTTCAGGCTTGAGTATTCCCCAAGCAGCCAGACCCAACCCCAACTGGGATTGAGATATAAAGTTAAATTCTTGCAAGGTTTTATCTAGGAAAAGTTTATTTCAAACCCTCTGTTCCTGTTTTCTTTTGTCATTAGATCCCCCCTACGATGCAGTCAGGAGAATGGGATGGGGCAGTGGTATGAATTCTCTAATAGTGAAGACAATTCTTTGACTTAAGAGTTTTCTATTGTGAGAAACAATATGTAGAGGAGGAACGGATCTTGATGTTGAGATATTTTCAACAAAATGTTTCATTTGGTAAACAGAGACGTTTATTTGCATAGAAAGGGTGCTTTAAAAATGAATTTGTGCTTCTGAAAAAAAAATAAATATTGAGAAAAGTTCCAACATGGAAGAAGTTCAGAATTTACACGTTGGAAAAAAACCATATTTTCTGCTCAAAACATGGTTGTAAACTAGAGTGGAAGTTGCAACAAGAGAGAGAAAATTATTAAAGTATGCATGATATTTTTTCTCGCCTCATCCACATATGATGCACATACCTTACAGTTGAAACCTTCAATTTCTAGCGAAACATCTTAATTTTAGAGTGTGATTTCTAGCCTGCATACGACCCTTCTCTGTCTTTACAGGCCCTCCTGTCGCGGGGACGCAAAATGTGAATAAGACGACCGAGCAGCAACGGCCCCAGCCAGGTAACCATGTAGAGACTAGGGCTCAGGAGAGCCCACAAAAAGGGAGGGAATTCATTCCTAATAAATGCATCATGGTTGGTTTTTTTCAAGAAACAGCCTCGTTGGAGCCAGTGACCGAGCTCCTGTTACTCTCATTTGTGTCTAATGCTCTGTTTGCTTCAGAAAGGGAGAGTTGGGTGAACATTTCATCGACCTGAGAGGGAAGCAAGCTCAACTGCTAATTTGAAATTCTTACCTGCTCTCCAGCTCTTTTTTTAGGAGAAATATAGGTTACTGATTGGTTTCAGGTTATAGGTCCTGATTTGTTACACTTCTAACATCTCACACTTCTTTTTTTTTGTTCACATTTCATGTTTTCTAGTTGACACGTAAGTGTAGGGTATGTCGGAAAAGATTACAGACTTCGAAAGAAGGCAAGGCTGGGCCGTTTTTGATTCCATAAATAATTGCTGGTTGTTTAAAAATAAGAAATAAGAGTCTGTGTCAGGCCCTAAGAGAACCAGCAATAAGGATAAAGAACGTTTGAACTGGTTTCTAGAATAAATAATAGTGAACTGTAGTTTCCTTTTGATGACACTTCTTTACAAATAGCTTTTCCTGAGTGTTGTTTTTTGGTGTTTTTTTTAGATCCCTATCAAATCTTGGGGCCCACTAGTAGCCGACTAGCCAATCCAGGTGAGTTCATCTTCAAATTCCGTCATCAAAGAGGTTAGTTTAGCAAAGATCCTTACAGCAAAGCGAGGCAATTGGTGCAACACCATCTTTGCCAGGACAAAACCACCACCCTGAACATTTTTACTCCAAAACAGAATTCCCTAAGGAGAGTTTTATAGAGGACTTAAGTGCTGGTCTCTCAGATTTGCAGTACAGGTTAGTTTTTCACTCTTTGCTATGGATTAGGTGGACGGGAGGCACAAAACATCTCCGAAAGTCACCGTGTGGTAACTGTCCCTAGAAAACAATCCCTGACTTTGGAGAATAAGTCTTGGAGTAAATCTTGAGCTAAACAAACTTGTATCCATCGAATGCTTGTAAGGAAACATCCTCATAGGGCTCTTTACTATTAGTATGACCATAGCAAATAAAATCTGGAGTCATCTAGTCTGGGGAAGAAGCAATCTTACATAACTCAGATCACCACCTGGGGGTATCCCAAACAATGCCTATGGTAAAGAGTAAGCAACTGAGAGCTGAAATTTACTGCATTAACTATTCAGTGGAAAATGCTGCTCGGGAAAATGCCTGTTTATGACCAGTCCGGAGATTTTAAGGCCAAAGGCGACCATTACGAAATCTAATCTGCCCTCAAACTCACCAACAGAACAAAGGGTTGACTAACTTGTTTGCTGGGAACAGTTTATCCATTCCTACGTAAGGCTTTCTAAGGCTTGAAGGAGCAGTTCCCAGTAGAGATCGAGATAGTCCTTCTGTTTCCTGCCTTTGTCTTTGCTTTTAAGCAGGAAAGCCCAAATCATTTCCTTTCCTCTCTCGCAGGGAGCGGGCAGATCCAACTGTGGCAGTTCCTCCTCGAGCTGCTGTCGGACAGTTCCAACGCCAGCTGCATCACGTGGGAAGGGACCAACGGCGAGTTCAAGATGACGGACCCCGACGAAGTGGCGCGGCGCTGGGGAGAACGCAAGAGCAAGCCCAACATGAATTACGACAAGCTGAGCCGAGCCCTCCGATACTACTACGACAAGAACATTATGACCAAAGTGCACGGCAAAAGGTATGCCTACAAATTTGACTTTCACGGCATCGCCCAGGCTCTCCAGCCTCACCCCACCGAGTCGACGATGTACAAGTACCCTTCAGATCTCTCCTACATGCCGTCCTACCACGCCCACCAGCAGAAGGTGAACTTTGTTCCCCCGCACCCCTCCTCCATGCCCGTCACGTCATCCAGTTTCTTCGGAGCAGCCTCACCTTATTGGACCTCCCCTGCAGGAAGCATCTACCCAAACCCCAACGTCCCTCGCCACCCCAACGCCCACGTATCGCCACACTTGGGCAGCTATTACTAGATGTTTTTATCTTCGAGTGGCCTTGATCAGTCCGGTTGGACTTTCTCCTTTCCTGCCGGGATTTTGACGGTTTTATTTCGGGGGACCCTTAATGGATAAACGTGGCCTTTCTGGGGAAGAATTAAAACTGGATGTTGGTTATTCCTGGATCAAACCTTTTCCTTTGGTAATTCTGCCTCTTGTGTCTTGGACTGAGAGAGGGATGCTTCTTTGGGCCAGTACTCTGCATTTTCTTGGGTTTTTAACGCTTCTGTCCTCCGTAGGAATTGGCCATGAAGATTGGTCACCATTACCTGGAACGATTATTAGCTTTTTGATGAGAGAAATTTTTAAGGATGACAAGACATAGATCCAGCTGTGGGTCGTAGGAAAAGATGACTACACTTGTGGTTTTTTTCTCGCTATGGAGAGGTTAAGGCAGTTTGACCATTATGCGGAGGACATTGGGCTGCAGGGGACTGCAACTGGAATCTTAGCTTTAAGGCAGATGAGGATTTTCACCCAACTGGAATTTAAATATATATATATATATATTCATATATATATATGTACATGTATATTTTAAGAAGTAAAGGGCATTGAAGGAACTTTTCTAGAGTGTTACAGCTTCATTAGACTGTCTATTAACTCCAGAAACATCAGAAACCAGAACAAAAAGTAACCTAATGTCAAGCACAGGCATTCCTTGAAAGCAAAAGTGAAGTAAAATAAATGACAGCAGGCCCCTGAGCTCGGCCAGAGTCTTAGGGATCGCTAAATGCTACCGATTCGCGAACGCTGTGCGTTTGTCAGACCGTCATCCAAAGGGTCAACAAATCAGAAGGCAAATTACTGTATAAATTATGCAGAGTTATTTTTTTTTCCCTATATCTCACAGTTTTAAAAGAAAGATTAAATAAAACGAGTTGACCTCGGTCACAAATGCAGGTTTGTTTTGTTTTGTTTTGTTTTTTACTATCAGCTCAGTTGTTTGTGGGTTGTTTTTGTTTGTCGTTCTGTTGGGGTTTTTTTTTAATATAATTTGTACATCTTCTCAATCTGTACATTTGGGCTGTAGCTTTGTACTTTTTGCTAAAAAAAAAAAAAATAAGACGTGAGTAATGTATCTGTCGGAGAGAGCCTCAGTCCTGCAATTGGATCCATAAGCGACCCCCAAAGTAGCCAGAAACCTTCCAGATTTCCCTGGGTTTGCCTAGAGTAGAGTTTTATCTTTTCAGCAGATTAATTCCACTTAGCCAACATGTTTGCCTTGAAGCTGATTGAAAACACGCCCCGGCGTTTTAAACCAACTATTTAAATATTTTGCCATTATTTTTCCCCGAAACCTTGAGCTTTGGCAAGATCTCAGCCACTTGGGAGATGTTGCTTCCCGTAACATCTTTCCAAAAACTTTCACCGGGAGTTGTTCCATCGCGATTTCAGATGCACAAGAAACTCTCAGCCCCCTCTAATTTTTGCACATGTTAATTTGACGATCCGCAAACGGCGCAAACAGACGGGTAAACCACAAGAATTTTGTGTTTTAGAACAGATGTCTGTAAGGGAGGTGAGAAACCCATGTACAACCTATTAGCTAACTTGTATTAACTGGCAACCAATTAACGGGATCACAAATAATCGAGTCTAGACACGACCTCGGGCGCAAGATTTGGTCCATGTGCATCCGATTGCAGGAGGAGAGCCCGAAACCAGAACATTATAGTCTGCTTGTAACTTTAAACAGAAGCACTGATGCCATTATTTAACAGAATGGGAAAAAGGAAAGAAGATCAAGTTAATCAGTTTAGGTCTTAGTGCTTTCGGGATGTTTATAAGTAACATTACTGCAATAATCGCAAAATTGAAGTATGGAGAAATTACCCATGGAAACAGGGCTTTTGCTACTATATATATGCAATGTACTTTTTGGATATTAAAGTATATATAATTTTGCAAGCTATCTTGGTGTGTTTTTTTAAAAAAAAATGTATTAATTGTTACGATGAAACTTGTATGGAGAGGACGGTGTAAAAAAAAAAAAGTGACAAAATAAATGGTGTTTTTCTTCTTTAAGGCATCCTATTGTCCCACTCTCTCCCTCCCCTCTCAAATTTGCATCGAGAGCACAAACTTTCCTCTAAATTAAATTTAGCTGAAAAGGAAAAACGAAGCAGCTCCCTAGTAGTGGCGATCAACCCTTATCACCATAAACCAACGCTGACCTCTTATTCCAGAAAATTGGTGTCTCTGAAGCCGGTGCTCAGAAATAATTGAGTTATTGAAGGGTCTAAATCAGAAACCTACGTGCAACACTGGATGTCTTACCAGCCCGAGGCTGCAAAAACCAGCGCTGCCCAAGGAACGTTCTGGTTGTGTCTAGAGGTCAGGCAAAGGCACTTTCTTGTATTTTTGCAGAAGCACAGTGGTCCTGAGAGATAGCTTGATCCTTCTGCCTTCTTCCTTCCTTCCTGCACTCAACCTTTTGTTGCTAAATTGTTAGTACAAGAGCTTTTGCCGCCTTGATGAGCGAGCCTGGGCTCCGAAAAAGAGCGATCTGGGTGCGTTCAACCACTAAAGAGCCACTCCCTTTGTGTGTTCAACCGTAGCTGCTCAATTTAGTCCTAAGAGTGAGGGGGGTTGTAGCTTATCTTTATTGTTTTTCGCTTTAGAGCCATCCATAGAGTTCTGGCTATGAATAGAAATATCAAATATTTTCTTTTAATACAGCGTGCTGGCCTTGTTGCCAGTAATAGGAAAATCTGAAGACTGAAATTGAGCGAAACTGGCAGAATCTGAAGGTTGTCGGAGTGCAGAGATGCTTTTGATAGCAAATTTAACCAGATCCGTGGTGGAAAGAAAAAAACAAAACCAAAAAGCCTTTTGAAAACAAACCAATGATTTCTGTTTCTGGCTGTTCAACCTGTAACATCTGAAAGGAGTCCAGGTTGAGCATCCCCAGCTCAGGTCCCTTCTGCCTCCTCCCATCCTTCTTTTCAGGGTACTTGCTGCTATTAATCTTTGCTAATATTTCCTAATATTTAGCTTTAGACAGAGTTTGCTGCCCACTGCAGGCTGCATTCCCACGGAATAAAGAGATCTGGGAGTCAAGAGATCTCGCACCAGCCCCTGCCAGAAGACCTCGTGCTGCTGAGGCACTTCCCAGGCACCTTTTAGCATTTTAGTAAGATCTTAATAATTTACACTCCTCAGGTAAAGAACGAGTAACAACATACAAATTGAGAGCAGCTTTTGCCATGTGAGTGTGCTAACAGGGGGATCTCCCAACCCAAGCTCCTGGGCCATGCTGAGAGAAAACAAACAAGGAATTTGACAGCACTAATGCTACTTTTTTGTTGGTTGTTTTTTTTTTTTGCTTTTCTCAGGAGGACGAGGCAGAGGGAGTTTGAGTATTTCAAGCTTAAATCAGAAAGGTTAGCAAACAGATGGTTGGGATCACGTGGTTGTGAGCTGTGAGTCAAGAGAGAGAGCAGAAAAGTCTTCTCTTCAAGTTCAGAATTCAAACCTCACCAGGAATCCCAGCTCCCACAGAAATCAGCTACGGATTTCTAGCGATCTAGCATTCACCCAGTACTTCCCAAGTTCAAACACTGAATGGGATCTGGCTTAAATATGCCAAAAATAGCATTAGCTTTCCATTTCTCTCTCTATAAATAGATATTGCAGCTTTTATATTAAGTAGAACGGCTTTATGGTTTCGGAGCTCCAGGTCCCTTTGCTGGGATCTTTGTGACGTTCTTCTCGATTTAAGATGCACCTGCCTCAGCATCTGCACATCAGGGAGAGGGAGAACAAGAAGGTATTACTGCTTAATTCCAGGCATCAGATTTAGAACCTGCTTATAACTAGACTTTGAAGAAGGCTCTTTATCCCCACTAATCACTGCCTAGAGTCTAGAGAACGGACCTCCCAGCTTAAGCACTTGTTAGATGCTCTAGAAGAGGCGATGCCAAATCCTTCCAGAGGCAAACATCTCCCGTCTCTAATCCTTGTGTGCCAGAATCCATCCTTTATATACAACAAGCAGCTTGCTGCTCATATATACTGAAAAATAGTCTTTCAGCCCCAAAGTAACTGCATCTTTCTAATTGGCACCTAGTAAGGGAGAGGCGAAGCTTCATATTAAAAATGCTGATGAACCCAGCTGCTGTTTCCCACCCCTATTGTCAGGGTTAAAGGAGTCAGCTTCACTTTATCACACTATTACTCTAATAGATTTTTTTTTTTTGCTTTGCTGTGCTGATGCAGTCTTTTTAATGACCTCTTGTGAAAACAGCTCGTTAGACTCCAGCTCGCTTCCTAGCAAAGTAGCTTCTCCCGCCATCCAAACTGTGTGTTGCTGCATTTGGTGTTAGAGCTGTGGTCTAGAGGCACATCGTGGGCTGGGGTTTATAAATTCACTTCGAAGACCCTATTTGTGTAGTTTTGCACAGTAACATAGATGTTATTTTAATCTGTAAAATCAGGACATGTCGCAAAGCTCAGACTATTCTATCACGTTAGAAAAACATGAAGCGACCTCTGCCTAAGGTCATACAAAGAGAGGCACATCATGTAGCTGGTGTGCTATGATTTTTTTTTTTATCTACAGAGACAGAAATCCCTGCACTTAAAGCTCAGATTTGGAAGAGAATGAGAGATCCTTAGCAGAAATCAGCCTGAAAGGCCCCCAGAGTAGCAAAGAGACCCCGATGCTAAACCCACTACAAAGAAAAACAAACAAGAAAAGCAGTTTTGAAGCAATTTTCGCCCCCCCTCAGCTGTTCGCCTCTGCAGAAAGGACTGAGCTGCCCCTGAAGAGGCAAAGTGCAAGCAGGTGTGTCAGCAGGGCCAGACTCTTTGCAGCTGAGCTGCCCCTCCAACCCTTATAAAAGCTGCAGCAAGGGTAGGGGGAGGTTTTTTGGGGTTGGGGAGGTTTCCTTAGAGGATGGGGTGCTTGGCCGCAGGCAGACGAGGATGAAGAGCTGGATTTTTTTGCAATTGCTGACGGAGGACGAGCGCCCTGGGGACTTGAGGAGCAGTTATTTCGACACAAGAGCTTGCTTCTTCCTTTCCAGGAACCACTGCAAGCTCGTTGTTTGCTTTGGCATTTGAACTTTCTGCCTCCTGGAGCTGCAAAGCCTGATCCAGAGTCGACTTTCCCTTCCCTGCCGAAGGGGTCTCCACAACCCGGGACCCACACCCTGCTCCGGTGAGTAGGTCCTGCACGCCCAAACCACCCTGGCTAGAGGGATTTGAACCCATTTTTGCCTCCACGTACGCTGGGAGAGGAGTGATGGGGCCCTGGTTTATGGGCGGTGTGGGGTGTGATGAGTTTGCACCAGGACTCGGGTGAATTTGGTGTTCTCTGACCTGTAAAACGATGTAACAGTTTTGCAAGCTCCGAGTCCTTTCTGTGCATTTTTGTAGGCTCCCTAAGGTACCAGGAATGCTTCCAAATCAGAGCGAGGAGCTTGAGCTTTTGGTGCTGTTGCAAAATTAATAGAGAGCCAGGACCTCCCAAGGCGGCTTGTGTAGTGTCGGGATTGTTTAACAGCTGGGGAAACTGAGGCTCGAAGCAAGAAGCTGTGACTTGCTTGAGGTTTCAGAGCAGAGGAACATAGGTTTCCCCAGACCCATCCTTGCTGTTCCTAACCCTCCCACCAACCGCGGGCTCTACTAAGGGATAAGGAACGGTCCCAAGAAATTCTTTTCTGTGCCGTTAATTGGTGCTGCCGGCGCGGAGCCGATGCGGAGGGCAGCGCTGCCATCCAGCGGCAAAGGGACAGAAGACACTTGGGGGGATCTTGCCCGGACTCCTGGTCTCTCTCTGTGGTGGGTTGTCTGAGGAGAGCGATGCGGTGACTCTCTTGGGATGTGGTCACCCAGGAGAGCAAGAGCTTCAAGGCGCTTCTGTTTGGGTAGGGGCGTGCGAAGTGGAATTGTCGGGTTTGAGGGGGGTTCTCCTTCCCTTCACAGAATGTTCAGGGTTGGAAAGGACCTTGAA